AAAATTTAAATTGGAAAAAAAAACATTCAAATAAATTACTTCTTACAAGAATCCCTCCAATGTAATTATATTCACCCAGGTCATTTGGATGGAAAATTATGAGAAGAGCTTAGTCACTCTTAAGTAATGATAAATAAACACGCAGGCAGGCCTTCAGCGCCAACTGTCAAATCTTATCTCAAATAAATGCCAGACATTCTGTCACCTTGTAGTGAATTTCTCCCCTACAGACGCTGTTTGTCGCTGAGTAGCCGACCCCGCAAATTCCCCAGTGTATATGCCTCGTGGTCTAGGTCAACCAGCGCCGCCCACGGAGCGGGGCTCAATTACTAAGCCACGCCTACCCCGCTATATAAGACCTGACCTTGTGGTGACCTCTCTCTTCTTCTAGCTACAGCCGCAGCAAGCAACACCACCACCTCCGCCGCTGCCTGGCGGCCCTCGCTCCTCCTCCGCCGCTGCCTGGCGGCCCTCGCTCCTCCTCCGCCGCTGCCTGGCAGCCCTCTCTCCCGCCGGCGAGCATGGCGACCCACAAGCTGTCCTCCTCTGAGCATCCTCACCAACCAAGTCTCTCTACATCACGCTTGTAACCATGCTGCCTTCCCAGCACCAAGCTGCATTGTACATCCAATACAACATGTATACAAAGAGTACATTGTGAGTTTCCTTTCTCCATCCCATCCCGAGTCTCGAACCAAATACCACCACCCTACAACCTCACCTCCCGCCCCCTTCCCCCCCCTCTTCCCACCACCCTTGTGTTCAAGATAAAAGATTGGTGATTTCTTTGTTTATTTTATATAATCTCAGACTAAAGTTACGATAATATAAATTGCATTGCTGAAATCCTTGCAAGACAGAGATTAATTTGAATATAAACGTCATATATTTTGCTCAAGATATAAAAATGTAGCACATCAGTGTACAATACTGAAGTACATTTTATAAAGTTTTTCAACTGAATTTTTGGGTAAATTTTCAAAAATTTCTTCATTTATTTTCACCCATTTACATTCACACACCATTTTAAAATAAACGTAAAATAAATTAGTGCAAAGCTGGACTGCACATGTACTAATTTGATTACGGTACTAAAATTGTTATGTCTAGTGCAAATTACAACATGTTTATATTCAAATAAATGAGTATCTTACAAGAATCCCAGCTATGTTAATTATATTCTCCTAGGTCATATCACTGGCATTTTAAAATGAGAGAAGCTTAGCAGGACTGTTAAATAAACACAGAGACCTCAACCCCCCCAACCCCTCACTGGGTGGCAGAACCTTCAGTCCTACCCCCCCCCCAGCCAGGCTTTTAGGCTTACAGTTTTTATCTTATACAATATCTCAGACTAAAGTTAGGAGATTATAATTTGCATTGCTGGAATCCTTGCAAGACAGCAAATAATTTGAATATAAACGTCATATATTTTGCTCGAGATAAAAATTGTTGTACATTAGTGTACAGTAGGTAGTGACAGTTTGGCAAAAGTTTTCAAAATCTAATTGCTTGGGTTGGATTATTTGTCTATCGGCCACGCTAATTCCGAATATGTTTGAGTTTTTTACATCATTGCATTAGAAGGTTTGTGGATACTTTTGGGTTTGGCATGAAAAACGCGAAAAAACTGTAAATAATAAAGGGACTGGCAATGTGGCACAACCTGTTAAAATCAAGTTATTGAATTGGATTATTCGACTACTGTGGGTATATATATATATATATATGTATGTATATATATATATATATATATATATATATATATATATATATATATATATATATATATATATATATATATATATATATATATATATATATATATATATATATATATATATATATATATATACATTGTAGCTTAGTAAGTTAGATTAAAGAGGGTGCAGATGACTATAATCTCTGAGACAACTAACTTATTTCAGTTATATGGAAGGTAGAGACTTCTAATTTGGCGTGGGTGAACTTAATATAACTGAGACGGGGGAAGCTGCTGTGAAGTCCTCTATATTAGCCAAAATATTGTATCATATATGCTTAAGGCACATTTTCATTAAATAATCAAACTCCAGTTTTTTTACTTACTTTATTTTAATGCGTTCCCAAATTTTCTTCTTCTGTTCTTCTGATCGCCGAGGTCCATATCCCTCGGCATTTAAACATGTTGCAATTCGTAACCATGCTTGTTTCTTTAATGTAACAAGCTTCCCACAAGTACTTTTATTTTGCAAAATTTTCTCCTCCCCAATCAAATAAACTAAGAAATCCCGGGAGACTTTGGAGGAAAAAATATCCATGACGAGAGCTGCTACAATACTAAATTGGTGCCAACGAAGGTAAACACACACACACAGGACCCATAATACATCAGCGAAGAGGACAGTATTACCAGACCTAAAAAAATCATCCCGCACGCAGTGGAAGAGGTTCGAGCATTTAAAAATACCGCTTGATGGAGCAATACCTTTGAAAAGATTCTTCGTCAGAAGGGGTAGATGTTGTTTAATAATATGGCCGTGAACCTCACCAGTCACAGGTTGACTCTGCCTCCCACCTGGGATACCTTGCAACACATGCCGCCATACGTGACAAATCGTTGCCACAGACAGCTGCTCCCATGCCTCCACCAAGAAATCAACAGCTTTCTTGACGTTAAATTTCTTCCAAAACTGTTTGACGCGAACTTCTTGAACCGCCAACTCTTGCTCCTCGTCGTCGCTCTGGCTATCGCTATTGGTGTCACCCAGGTTACGCAACTCATCCTTGGTGTTGGTACAGTCGTTCAGGAGCTTAAACTTCTTTGTAGAGAATGCAGCCTAAACGTTGCATATCAACTCCTGGTCCACGGGCTGGATTAACGATGTAGTGTTGGGAGGAAGGAAGACCACTTTTACGTTGGGGTGACGATCCAACAGTAGGGGCGAGTGTCCTGGTGTGTTGTCAAGGAGCAACAAAATGTTGAATGGAACATTCTGTTGCTCGCAGAATTTCTTGACGTCAGGAACGAAAGTCGACAAACCAGGAGAGGGACAGAGCAGTGAACATTAACCACTTTAGTAAATAAATATGAACCAGCACAGAAACCGTGAATAAAAAATGGTAGTTGTATGATATATATGGACACAAAGTAGTACCTTCAGCTGTGTATTATTATATTACTCTTATTAATTATGTATAGTAAAGTATTGCAGAACATGTATTAATTCTATGTAATATTCCATTTATTGTGCACCATGTTATGTATATAAATTATCATATTTATACTTTATGTATTCAGCTTGTGAATGCTGGCATCTGTACATCCCAGCGTGCAGTAATACAGAGAGAGTGAAGACAGAGTTCTCGTGGTGTGAAGCGAGCTCCTGGGTCCCCTCCTACTGTATATATATATCTCCCGTACGAGAATAGAACCTACATTTAAGACAACAAGTGTTTGTGTATACCCTCAGTAGTATAGAACATTTTGTGGGTATCCGTGACACACGTCAGAGTAGTCAAAGAACATGTCATCACAAAAATTGTGACCCAAGTCCCAGGTTGATGATCTGACTTTCTGCCTCATTTTCACACAATTGCAGGGTCTCAAATATTTCTCTTACATTTGACAACACAATATACATACAGGTATATTGTTTCTCACTCTTGATTTTTTTTCATTTTTGCATTTCTTTATGGTTCTTTATTATTATCATTACATTATCGCCCCCCATGCCCCTATGTGGGTCAGTGGCCTGGGTGGGCGAATCCCCGTAAAAATTAATATTTTTTTTTTTAGGGGTGCAGGGAATATTATGAGGGTTTCTGACTATGCATTTTTTTACTTTACTTTGTATATACTTTTCTGTGAGCTGGAACCAATTACCCAATATCCCACTGAAACCGGTTTCGGTTAACGAACGACCCTCTGGAACGAATTGAGTTCGTTAACCGAGGGACCACTGTATAGAGAACATCCTTGGACCCTATCTCGCAATATATCCTGACTGTACTGTACAAGTTTTTCAACTCGTATTTTCGAGTAGACATACGTATTTTTATTCATTTACTTGCACACACCATCCTAAATACATATTGTGAAAAAAGTAAAAAGAAATAATTGTCCTAAGGGCAAACATGTACTGTACTCAAATGTACTAAATAATTACCAAATGTCAAGTGCAAACTTTAGCATGTTTATATTCAAATTAGTCACAATCTTACAATAATTCAAACAATGTAAATTATATTCTGCCAAGTCAATTCAGTGACATTTTATGAGCGTAAAACTTACTCAGTCTATTTCATCTGATAACTATGCACTTTGTAACATCCCCACCCGCTGTCAACACCTCACTCCTCCCAGCTAGGGTGAAGGAAGTTTTAGGCATAAAGTTTTTATCTTATAAAATGTCAGACTAGACTCAGAATATTTTAACTTGCATTGCTGGAATCCTTGCAAGATAGCAATTAATTTGAGTATAAACATCACAATTTGAACAAGAGATAAAAATTTTAGTCCTTTAGTGTAGTACATTTCAGTACAAAGTGAGCACAGTAATATGTTGCTCAAAATTGTGGCTTTTTCACAGGAAAAAATCTGTATAACTAACCCCAGTGGTCAGGATATTATGTACTGTATTTTTGGTGTTTTTTAATATTATTTATCGTATTTATACATTTAATACATTTGCCGGAAGATTCGGATAATCGGCTTTTTTGGACAGGTGGTCCCCTCTTTAGGTCTATATCTTTAAGGGTTCACTGTATTTCTATTTCAGAAATATTTATGGTCCAGCAGCAACCAGGTCCTGAGATGCCAGATTAGAGGACTTTGACCTGTATACTTTCAGTCTGTTCAAGCACTGGATGGCATCAGTGGTATAACACTTCTGCAGTTTGTCATGGTCATGCTTCTGCTGAGAGAAAGGGCATTAGAGTTTTGGTTTATTTTGTGTTAATAACGATATGGCCCATTTAAATGCACAATATATCATATTAGAGGGAATAAAACTCTTAAGATTACCACTGTCTTCATTGCCATTGAATAAATTGGTACATTTCTGAAACAAAGTGTGAAACTTCAAAATGTATAAATAAAATTCAATACCTTACAAGTACTTGAAGAAAAATACAGGTAAATTTATGCTGCTGTGAATTCATAGTTTAGAAGACTTTGTACACTGCTTGTGGCAAACATACTATTATTCACTTAAGCAGTATCAAGTAGTAATAGAACTTATAATCTAGATTTCTAAAACATATGGATAATAGTCAACTCTAACTATATATATACTGTATACAGCTAACTCTTATTAATACACAAGTGCAAATAATTTTTTTTAGTCCTCTCCACCATGAATTAAAATGCAAATCAGGAATATACCTGATTGTCCTAACTATTCACCAAGACATCAAGCAGTATGTTCTAACATTTGCTCCACACCTGTAACATCTATTATCAACATTCAAAATACTCATTCATTACAATAATATCCAAGAGATTTCAGACACTAATAACTATGACAAGTAAAAATCCTACACTGCAGTGATGAACACTAAACAGGATATACTGTATAATTAAGGTTAACTAGCTAATGTAGAGGGCACAGCTCAAATTGGTTACAGCTACATGTGGCCCCCATGATAAAGTTCTCTCAGTTGATGATATATTTTATACCAACTTCCCAAACTCTGCAGCCTGACATTTGATCTAGTGGACAATTCCTCTACCTCCTCTGGCTGCTTTGGCTCCCAGTACCATAGCCAGTTCCCCACTGTTGTTTATTATAAGCAGTACCCCACTGTTGCTGGCCAGCACTTCCCCAGTTGCTGCTCTGTTGGCCCCAACTTCCACTAGCAGTGTTAGCCTGGCTGGCTGTCCCTGAAGTTCCATATTGCTGGCTAGTTCCATAGCCCTGGCTTCCATATCCATAACCCTGGAATTATATAACTTCATTAAGAAATCTTTACACACACTCACACACATATATATATATATAATTAGGGCAGACCCCGGCCCGAAAAATACGAATATATGAGGGTCGGAGATAACACTGCTTATCTGAACTGTTTAAAGAAAATCAGATGACGTTATGTTATTACTGCACTTCAACAACTAAGGTCTTTAATGTGTATAACAAGGTCATTAAAAAATACATTACAATAAAAAAATATGACAGAACTATCCGATTTGAAAATCAGACATATGTCTGGTTGTCTACAACTGATGTCACCAAGATGATTGTTATTTACTGTAAAGTGTTATACAGTATGTAAGTAACCACAGAATTTGTCTTATGAATAAAGATAAAACTGTATACTGTACAGTACTATAAAGATAAAACTAATGACAAATAAGTGTAAGAGTAAATTGTATGTGGAAGACGAGTGTTTATCTGAAAGTAGCTGGCAGAGGGGAGTGGGGAAGCACAGGTGGGTACACTCTCCCCCAAGATTCCTTTAACACTTCTTTATGCAATTTAACCATAATTCTCATATAATTTAGGATCATTTGGTGCCAGGTTGATAAAATATTATCCAAAAAGAATCAGCTTTCCTGAAAAAAGAATCCCACACTGAACGGAGTCATTTGTTTACAGTGAGCAAACAGCTGATTGGCTTACCACAATGTCTGTCTTCAGTACTAAGTAAATTAGTATAGTACAGTAGTGTATTTATCATCACTTAATAAATACTGTTGTGTACTTATCATCGCTTAAGTAATATTGTAGTGTACATTATTATGCATCTGCATATGCCCTGGTTTATTCATTAATCATTTGTCTAAGTGTACAGTACAAGTAGCTGTTGCTGAAACTGTTACTGAACCCAAAGTTGTACATGAAGCTGCTTATGATGCTGAAGTTGATGGTTTAGGCCTTCGGATAATAAAACTGTCTAAAGAACCTTGTACAGCTGCTTTTTCTCATTATACATCTTTATATAGGGGTCATATGCATTTTTCTTGTCCCTGTTAATTTTAATGCTTTGTTCTGTTAATGGATCCACTTCAGAAATTATGTTCATTACTTGCTCCATATAATATCCACAGACCTCTCACCTTTTTCATATTGTTTTAACACTTCTAGTTTCTCGGCTGAGCCTATACACTTTCTATTAGCTTTTGAAACAACACTACCATCACTTGCTCATGTTGAATAGGGATGCAAATATGCAGTAAGAAACCTGAGAAAGTTTTCCCCTTTTCCTGTTCAGATGCATAAAAACAAAGGGCCCACCAGCTGTGACTGTTTATACTAGTGATGCTGGCGTCACCACTCACAAGCCCGGTAGTCTCCATGCACAAGGCTTTTTTTTTTTTTTTAAGTATAATAGATATCGAGATTTAGTTATTATTTACAAGTTAGTATATGGAAAAAAAAACCTACTTCCGTCGTAAATACGAAGAAAATAATGGCGTAAATTGAACTGGATCCTAAATTAACCAGGATCTTAAATATGAATTGTTGTTAGTAGAACTGTCGTTATCAGAAGCTTTTCAGTAGTTGTGTAGTATTTATCATTAGTTAGGTCGGTTTTTTGTTGTTTGTGAACACATTTCATGTTTTGGGGTATATAATTGGGATTTTCTTGTCATTGGGAACTGAACCCATTTTTCCCCAAATGCACCTTTATTTGCTATACAAAAATTCACTTCACAAATGTTTTTTCAGGAACCTAACCTATTTGTATAGTGAAGGATACCTGTACAGTATTATGTATGTTTAGCATTTATTAAAGCAGTTTTAGAACAGTTTATGCATATTTTTTGTACTCAAGAATCTAACTATTTTTCACAATAGTTCACTATGTCTTCTGGTACCTAACCTGCAAGCGACTCCACCGTATCTATTTAAAATCTTCCCCTAAGGGGCAATCTTGACATGAAAGCCTTCTGGCTAACATATCAACACATACTATCTTTGGCAGCAGCAGTACTCTCACCCCCAAGAACACCCAACTCTTCCCAGAATACAGTAGTGGTTACCATCCTCTTACCCTTGTGATTAAAAAGTTGCATTGCTTCTAATATATTATCTACACAACCAATAATTATTTTTTACTATTTCATAGCCCTGATTATGTCTGCTAGGGTAAAATAACAAATACAGAACCACTTACTGTTCCCCAGTATTGCTGCTGTGGTGTCTGCTGCTGCTGTTGATAGTACTGCTGGTTCCAGTTGCTGCCGTACCCCTGACCATAGCCGTAATTCTGGTTACCCCATCCTTGGCTGTTATAGCTGCCGTAGTTCCCATAGCCTTGGGTCCCCTGGGTTCCCTGCTGGGTTGCCCATGGGTTAGTAGTAGTAGTAGTAGTAGTAGTACTATCGGAGGTACTCTTTATCTCATTACTCTGCAGTAAGAAGAGATGGAGAGAAAAAAAAAAAGCAAAAAGAAGTAAGTCTACCAAAAACGGATAAAAGGCAGTATGAAAATTAATATTGGACAACTGAAACAAATAAAAAATAAGACTACATAACCAATAAACCACCAAGAAATAAAAAAAACAATTAAATCATTCACATATGCCAGAGATATAATCAAGACCACCAAGTTTGAGACAAATCAATACTCTTACAAATCAAAACTAAGATCATCCACAATTTAAGCATTTATCAATATCCCTGTGGGGGCGCTGGTGGTAGAGCGGTACCGCTCTTGCCTCACAAGCAAGATGTCACAGGTTTGATTCCCGGGCCGGCGGAAGTTGTTTGGACACTCTTCCTAGTCCCCTTGGTCCCTGTTCACCTAGCAGCAAAGTAGGTACCTGCTGTAAATCGAAAGTTGCGAATTCATATTCAGGGACAAGTTGTTGGAGCTTCCAATATAACTTGCTTAGACATAAACCATTGACTCTTCAGGCTTCTACGCCCTTGACTCTTCAAGCTTCTACGCCCTTAACTCAGGAGACATAATTTCAAGATACCGTATAAATGCCAATAAAAATACACACACACAAATTACAGAAAAGTGGTCACTTCAGTTGCTTCGCTTGACAACCTTTTCCAAACGCTGAATATTCATGTTTGCTCTCTGCCCAGGACCCAATGTGCAGGCACCTTTGTGGCTGTGATATGGTCAGGATATGAGAGACCAATGCAGGATGCTGACCCTACATGGCAACATGAATAAAAGGGTTAACATGTCACTGGTATCATACAGAGATGTGCCAATAGTCATCAATGTTAGTAATGTAATGTCAGGGCCTGTCCTTGAGGAGGGAAGAGACAGCAGAAGCAGTGCTAGCTTTCTCATGCTTCCATTAATTTCCCTAAATATTCTCTGCTGAAATCAACTTGACAATCAGTGACAAAGTAAACTTACAGCAGAGTTGGTTGTGTGGTGCACAGTTAAACTGAAATAGGCCTAACCAGCAGAGTTGCCAGATGCACTTTTGACAAATTGCCCACTGCTTCCACACTTAAGATCACCTCCCACACACAATACACACCCATGCTCTTCATATTTCTTGTCTTATAGTTTTATATTATATTTTCTTTATTTCTAAGTCACATTAGAATATTGAAATGATTTTTCCACAACTTTTATAGTTTCACTATATGTAACAATGGCAACATGCATTACCATCTCTCCAGGCCACAGATGTCTCCTGGTGCAGCTCTCAGAAAACCGGACTATAAATGAAGAACATGGTTGTGTATGTATGAGAAGTCAACCTATGTGTGAGTGGTGGGCTAAAAGTACATCTGAGTCACCAGCCTAGCTGCTGCATTTATTGTTGCTTTTAATGAAACCATAAAAGTTGTTAAAAAATCATAACATTACTGTTCACTAATGTGGCTTGGAAATAGGGAAAATATAGTATAAAATTATAAAATAAGAAAAATAAAGAGCTTATGTGGGAAGTAAATGTGTTATGAGGCATTCGGTCACTGGAATTTAAATGCGTCACAGCATACACACCCACCACAGTCGCCGCCACCATACATCTGTGAGTTGGCTAAGCTAGGTGATTGCCTGAACAATGTGGTGAGCTGGATGCGTAGGAGGTATGCATGTGGAGGATTTTTTTTTTTTACATAAATAATATATACCGTACCAGTGAATGAGAGGAACAACAACAAAAATAAATAAATATATAAATACATAAAAAAAAAATGTGTTGCCATTTAGCAGAAGGTGAGAGAGCAGAGTAGTGAATGAGGAAACTCCTGCAGTAGCTCTCTCCCACCCATCTTCAGTGCTGGATTCTACACACAATGATTAATTCCCCCCCCGCCCCGTCGTTTTTTACCTTATGATACCTATTTTAAAAATTTTGGGGCACATTTAAACTGAAATAGACCTCACCAGCAAAGTCACCAGATGCACCATTGACAGGTATATATAACCATATACAGGGAGTCCCCGGGTTATGAACAGGTTCCGTTCCCGAGAGCATTCTTAAGTCGGATTTGTATGTTAGTTGAAACACATGCTGTGTATACCGTACTGACAGAACAAGGTTTAAAATCCCACTATATCATAGCCTAAGTCATTATATACATCTAAAATCACTTAATTTAAGAGAAAAAAGAGATAGAATGACAAAATACAGCAAATGAAAGCAAAAAATTAAGTAACCAGGAAAATAAAATACATTAAATTTAAAGTTTAACCCCATTCATAAGTTGGGGACCCCCTGTACTTTATGGACGATTTAAGGGATTCTCCAGGATAATTTAGACTACGCGTTTTTGCCTTTAAGCGCTCTCTTCAGAACGTATTCCCTGCTTAAGAGTGACACGTAGAGGAGCCCTTTCTCTTAAGCTCCTCTGCGTGTGTGGTGGTGTTGTGTGCGGATTAGTGGATGTCATGATTAGGACCTGAACTCATGTTTAGTAAAGTCACCCTGTGGACGTAAGCCTCTCTCCGTCCATGTAATTCAGTTGCTTCTGAAGATGTCTTGAATAAATAAATAAATAAATAAATATAAATAAATAAATAAATAAATAAATAAATAAATAAATAAATAAATAAATATATATATATATATATATATATATATATATATATATATATATATATATATATATATATATATATATATATATATATATATATATATATATATATATATATATATATATATATATATATATATATATATATATATATATATATATATATATATATATATATATATATATATATATATATATATATATATATATATATATATATATATATATATATATATATATATATACAGTTGTACCCCACTTAACGCGGTCAATTGAACCCAGAGGGTCCCGCGTTAAGTGAAAACCGCGTTAAGTGAATAACAGAACATATGGGATTAATTCCAATAGAACCCAGCCCGACCCCCAAACTCCACTTTTTGACGACAAATAACTATGTTGTAGTAAAAATAACATCTTAATTTTATGATGGTACATGCACACAATTAATACTTAAGAGAAATAGAGAAATACAGTCGCCAAGTTAATGTCCATTCAAATAATGGACTCAACTCCCTCCCCCTCTTCTCACACTACACTCACTGGCTCTTCCCTCTGAGAAATTTTTGGGGGAAAACCAGGTATAGTAATAAATAATTCCTCAAACTAAAGTTAGGATAATATAATTGACATTGCTGGATTCCTTGTAAGACCAGGAATATTTTGAATATAAATGTCATATATTTTTCACAAAAGATAACATATTTACTCAGAATAAACTTTACATCAAAAATTTGTATGTCTAATGCAAAATCTATGATGTTTATATTCAAAATGATCAGCAAATTGTAAGAATTCCAGCAATGTAAATTATATTCTGGCCGGATAATTTGTATGAATTTTATGAGCTAAAACAAATATCTTCAGTTAATAAAAAAAAAAAATATTCTTCGACACTATCTGTCAATCAAAGTACCCCACCTTGCCTTCCCCCCCTCTTCCAACCGCGTGGTCAGTCCCAACCCTCCCCCCACCCCCCACCAATCCTCCCTTCCAGAGTTTATAACATTTAGTATTAAATAATACCTCAGATTAAAGTTAGGATAATATAATTGACATTGCTGGATTCCTTGTAAGACCAGGAATATTTTGAATATAAATGTCATATATTTTGGACAAAAGATAACATAGTTACCTAGAGAACAATTTTTATCTAAAAATTGTATGTTTAATGCAAAATATATGTTGTTTATATTCAAAATGATCACCAAATTATAAGAATTCCAGCAATGTAAATTATATTCTGACCGGGTAATTTGTATGAATTTTATGAGCTAAAACAAATATCTTCAGTTAATAAAAAAAAAAATAATTCTTCACAGGGTAACAGATGGTCGGTCGGTCGGTCCCTCCCTCCCCCCCACCCCCACCCCCCACCAACCGTCCCAAGGAGATGTGTGGGATAACCACTAAATTTTAATAAATAATACCTCAAACTAAAGTTAGGATAATATAATTGACATTGCTGGATTCCTTGTAAGACCAGGAATATTTTGAATATAAATGTCATATATTTTGGACAAAAGATAACATAGTTACCTAGAGAAATATTTTTATCTAAAAATTGTATGTTTAATGCAAAATATATGTTGTTTATATTCAAAATGATCACCAAATTATAAGAATTCCAGCAATGTAAATTATATTCTGGCTGGGTAATTTGTATGAATTTTATGAGCTAAAACAGGCAGTCAGGCAGGGTGGCGGGTGGTGCGAATCTAAAAATAGCTCTCGAGCCGGACACTCACCGCGTATATGATGAAAAATGCCGCGTTAAGTGAAAGTTCAGCTTTGGCAAGGCACCGCGTATATGCGAAAACGCGTTAAGTGAAAGCGCGTTAAGCGGGGTAAAACTGTATATATATATATATATATATATATATATATATATATATATATATATATATATATATATATATATATATATATATATATATATATATATACATTGGTCCCTCGGTTAACGAACTCAATTAGTTCCAGAGGGTCGTCCGTTAACCGAAACCATTGTTTCAATGGGATATTGGGTAATTGGTTCCAGCTCACAGAAAAGTAGTGGTCCCTCGGTTAACGAGCACAATCCATTCCAGCAGGTTGCTCGTTAACCGAAAATCTCGTTAACCGAAAAACTCGTTAACCGAAACCATAGTTTCAATGGGTTTTTGGGTAATTGGTTCCAGCTCAACGAAAATTGTCTAAATTCAACAAAAAGGGTAGAAAAGTACACTTACTTGAGGTGTCTCTGTATAAGGCTCCTGGATGATGATGGGAATTAGAATGGGGGTGGAGGAGGAGGGAGAAGAGAAGGCATTGGGGTGGAAGAGAAGTCACCCCATGGCGCCATTTCACCCATAAAATTTTAGTTCTCTTGGTGTAATTCAAGATTATTTTC